AATAAAACAAAACGGCTGTCCAGTGCTTCCATGTTTTCCATGGTGGTCTAGCTTCAATTGACACATGATATCAACTATTAAAATTACTATAAAATCCATAAAACCCCCTCTGAAAATTTTGAATAAACCTGATTTCATTCTTTAATGCTATTGCATATAAGACAAGACCAAATGCCCTGGTGCGATCGAGAGTGGGGAGAGTCCGCTCTCGCTCTCCAAATGCTCTCGCATGGCCATGCGTATATAGCCTCTACCAGAGAAGTCCTACTAACTACCTTCTCGTGGCATTGCTGTTGTTTACCAAATTGAGAGGATGAGAAACGAATGTCCGGCGCTTTAACCGGGTTGGTGGACACAAAAAGTCCACCTAGGGTAGTTGGAAAACCCTGATTACGAACCAATCATGCACATGGGCTCCAGTATCCTGACGGAAAAAATGGCGTATGAACCAATTGTTGGTCACCGGCTACCATGGGACTGCATCTCTTTATGATGCTTCATCGCCTTGTGAATTAGATCTTTAGTTCAAAGGCTCTGGTTGTGGCCCCCTAAGAAAACCATCTGCTTCAGTTTGGGCACCTGGGCAGTATCACAGCCATCACACAAATCAAATGAGATTTGTGTGTCGCATATATATCTGATGCCTCATTGTACCGATATTCATGTGTTTAAATAAATAATAATAATAAATTTTACATCAAATTCTTTTATTTATTCTTTTTTAATTTAGGTCGATCAGAAACAAGATCATGTGTACAAGAAAATCTATGCAAAAATGTTGCTACATGCGTTGATTTAGGTAATAGTTTTATTTGTATCTGTCGATCTGGTTTTGATGGTCAATATTGTGAAAACGAAATTAATGAATGTAATTCAATGCCATGGTAGGTTCACTTGTTATATATGCAACGTTGTTTAATTAATGTCGTAAAAAAATCATTGTCTTACGCGTGTTATCCCTCGCAGACGAGTGTAGGTCGCCAACCAAGATTTTCTATCGAAATCTATCCTGAGCAATCCTTTCCAGTTGTTGAACTGGCTGAAATTCGAAACATGAACAACTAAGATTTCAATCCAATTGTCACGCACTCATCTAGAGGTTAGAAGTTTCTATATTTAATCCTTGACAGATTCGTTAACCACCTATTACTAAAGGGTATACTGACACAAAGCACCGAAACTATTGTGATGTGAATCGCAAAACATGAATCCTTAACAAATTACGGAAGCTATTTGTGTGGCGTTAATTCATTTAATTCAAAACTTGTAAAATTGTAACATTTACTTTTGTCCCTGGCCTATTCTGCAGATCATAAGCTTTCGTTTGATGTATGACTCATTGCCATAGCATCTTCTGTTCAAAAGCTATTGTAACTTATACTTAATCTTTTGTACCCTATTTTCTACTATAATCCCCCAGTTTTGGACAAAATTGTATTTTCCTAATTATTGTACGTTGTGGTCAGCCTATTCATTTATTTATTCATGTAACTTTTCACCCTAATCTGAATTGGGAATTCGAGTGCCAGATCGGGGTTGGAATAAAGTGATTAGTATTCCAGCTTTCTTTGTCTTCTCTCTCTCTCTCGTGCATGCTAGGAAATCTGGGATAGAATAGCTTTCGTCTCTCTACCCACACTTCGAACTCACACATATTAGTCTCAAGGTTAAGCCAATCAGCCCACCGGGTCAAGGTCTTAATCTACATTAGACAAGTCATACTCGGCACAAAGTGGGTAGAAAGATTCAAGGACGTAACATATTGAATAGCCTTCAATGAATCTCTTACTGTGAACACTTCATTGTAAGGAAGCTTTTAGAAGCTCAAAAGGAGCCAAACATATTTCATCCAATCAGCTTTAGGAAGAATATTCCAGAATCACTACGTGTAGCCTTCCCTATTGGACAATGCTAACAACATCCTGTGTGCGGATTGGGTAACTATAATGATGATTTCGTTTATACTAAAAACTATAAATACCTGACAGTTTTGTACCACAATTGACACTGTGTTGGGAACAACATTCCTTCTTAGTAGTCTTCTCTCTTACGACCTTACGGATTCAATCGTTCAAGTAATCTAGTAGTATGCGGCATAGCAAGAATCCAAAGCTCTAGATATAACAATTACTTATCTAATTTTTTTGTCTTTCAGTTACAATAATGGAACACGTAGATATCTTATTAATTCTTCTGAATTCGATTGCCCTAAAGGTTTTATTGGAACTGATTGTAGAATAAATAAGTTATGAAATTTTCATTTTTTGTCTTACAATGATGTAATGAATTTGACATGTTGACGATATTCATGATCTGTCATGAAACCTCAATGGTGTAGATACAAAGTACTGAATGATAGCAGTTTACTTAAATGTTCTAAGGAGCTGTGACTATTTCATTAGTAATTCCATGATTCAATGGAGGGATATTATTAATTAGAATATGATGAGAAGTGGTTTTGTGGAGATTTCAGTACTTTTTCAAAGTTGAAATCATGAGAAAATTAAAGCTAGATCACCATGGAAAACCTAGAAGCACTGGACGAACGTTTCGTCCTATTGTGGGACTCCTCATCAGTGCACACCCGCACTCGCGAGATTCGAACCCACGACCTACCAGTCTCGAGCCAGAATAAATATGTCTATTCATGTGTTCATCTTTTAGATGTTCCATTCTGTTCTTTATTTATCATTCAATGAATATGTTGGGGATGTTAGATCCCTAAAACTCATTTGGTAAATAACTTATTTTTGTAAATTTGAATATCTTTGTTTTCGCACCAAAATAGCTCCTTTCACCTTCAAGTCGTATTTCCCATTTGAAAATGTCATAAACGCTATTGGTCCATTGTATCTTTTCAGTGCGCTATTTTGTATTGCTTCCCAAAGACAATTTTATACTATATATATACGTCTGATTTCTTCCTATTGTGATTGTTTATGCTTCGGGTTGCTTACGGAATATATTTCCTCTTACTTAGTCTTGGACTTCTCACTCTAGTTAGCGGGATATGGAACAACGTATTAGAATAGCCTATCGTGTCACTACGTCATTGATCTTCGTTACGTTTACCGAGTAAGGAGAAATCGAAATTGGCATCAAGCATAACAGAATAAGATCCTCAATTTTCTAGTTTGTATCTTTTTAACAAAAACCGTTTTCTCACCAGGTATGGTTGCTAACTACATGTCTAACACTCCTACTCTATCCGGAATTAGAACTGGTAGTAACTCTAGAAACGCTTCTTTTTTAATGAATGAGCACCAAATAGATCAATAATTAGTCAAAAGCAGTTGAAGAATTCCAGTTCACAAATTCATGTTAATGATTTTGATTCACATTTGCTTTTTAATGTCAAATTAAACCTTAGTGAATAGAACTGAAGTTGATTGAATGGGGATTTAACTTAACATTTTAAACTTTGATCATATAAAGAAATGTTTTTAGCTAGAGTTTGATCCATATTTAATGCTTTATTGTCATAACTTTTACCCCTTTGTCAATTATCACGTGATAAAATCACCAATCAGAATATCGAATTATATGACTTTGGAACTGTGCCAAACCAATGACATATCAACCCACACTAGAAGCCTTACGCCAAATCTGAATCCTTATTGGTCTTTTTCGTCTAGCCTAGACCCTTGATTTTGGAACGCAATTTCAACCTCCACCTTATGGGATTTCTGTACAAGTAATTCAGACCTCAGCACAACATAAAATAAAAAATGTGATAATTATCCTATATCAAGCCGAAAGTGACTGTGAGTGTGGGAAACTGAAACTAATTAAGTTGGAAATAAGTTAAGAATGCTAAATCATATAACAGTAGCCGATCGGTCAAATAAAAGCTTATGACATAAGGAATGAGAATATATTCATAAACTAATTACTTAACAACTATCCAATAGGAATGGATGTAATAATAGTCCATAACTAATCCCTAGCAGTTACCCTTAATTTATTCTTCATTTGGATATAACATTTACAATACTTGTTCATTCAATATCAGTTGGCGATAGAAAAAAAATGTCTCCACCAAATTATTGAATGTAGGTTGTAGTTATCATAGATTGATCATGGTTGAAGTATTGTTAAATACGAAGAATTTTTGGACATTTTTTAAATTCTAGTATGATATTCCAAGCAATGAGCATCAATGGTACTGCATGATCACGGACACCTTACTGATAAGAACAAGCTAATATGTAACCTAGGTTCACATTTTCTAGCCAACTCCTCACAATCTCCTTGTATGGATGGCTCGTTGGCAAACTCAAGGAAGCCTCAAGAAGCCCAGAAAGAGCCGAAGACATTCCATCCAATCACCACTAACGGAACATTCAAAAATGTTGACGTGTAGCTTCCTTATTGAATGAATAAGAATGACCCCCTATGTGCCTATCGGCTGTCCGAAATGATTATTTACTTTCGGCCGAAAAACTATAAATACACGAGATTTCTGTACCACATTTTAACACTGTTTTGGGGAATAAAATTCCTACTTACTAGTCTTCTCTCTTGCGACGTTGCGGATTTGATCGTTCAAGTAGTCGGCATAGCAAGAATCCAGAGCTCTAGATATAACACTACTAATATCAATAAAATAGTTCATTTGATATTTAGTCATTGAGACTAATGGCTACAGTCTAATTGTATCTAATAAAATCCGCCTATCTACTTCGCAAATGTTAGTATACATAATAAACCCTATAAAAGTTAGTATATACATTCTTTTCATATTTATTGATAGACGTGAATTAATGTGCTTCATATCCATGTTCATTTGGATCAACTTGTATTGTTCGTGTTGGAACATATCAATGTATTTGTCCAGAACAACAATATGGTCAACATTGTGATGAAGTGATTATTGAAACAGAACCAAAACCACCAGCATGTAATTTTTATGGTCGAATTTATGATCATGATGATAATTGGACATATAGTTGTCAACGTTGTCATTGTAATGAAAGACAAATTATATGTAGTGATGTAAGTATATACTACTACTACTACTACTACTACTACTACTACTACTACTACTACTACTACTACTACTACTACTACTACTACTACTACTACTACTACTACTACTACTACTACTACTACTACTACTACTACTACTACTACTACTACTACTACTACTACTACTACTACTACTACTACTACTACTACTACTACTACTACTACTACTACTACTACTACTACTACTACTACTACTACTACTACTACTACTACTACTACTACTACTACTACTACTACTACTACTACTACTACTACTACAATTACTACTGCTTATAATAATGATAATGATTTTATTGTGGAAATGGGTGAAAAAATAGGGCGGGGGGTAATGAATTTATTACATTTGAATGGTGATTTTCTTTTCAACATTTGGGAAAAAAAACAGACGAATGGATAAAAGAGATATGTTTATTCAAATAGTTTGTCATTATAGCTAGAGGAAACACCAACACAATCACACTTCATGGTGAAACTGTGGAAGAGGTGAAAACATTCATGTACCTGAGAAGCATCGTTGATAAACAAGGAGGATTTGATGCAGATGTAAAGGCGAGGATTGGTAAAGAAAGGTCAGCATTTCTACAATTGAAGAACATATGAAACTCAAAACAAATCTCAACTAACTTCAAAATGAGCATCTTCAACACGAACGTCAAGACAGTCAGTCATAGAGCCAGTGTTTTTAATGGGAGCTTCATAGAGAGCTCTAGAAAAACGATGGATAGTGTCATATCTTGACTTAATAACTACTGAATTTCATACTGCATTTAGCCTGTTCCCAGCAGCTTTCCGAATATCAACAGCATCCATAAATCTACAAATGTCGTTATTTATTTTACAAAAGCTATCCATGACAGTGAAGCGTATTTCCTTGCCTCTCAAATTTTGATTCCTTTCGGAGTTCTGGCATAGAAATTTTTCTTGGGAACTAGAATGAATCTAAAAATTAAGTTTCAGTCATTTAGGTACTGAACTTATCAAGTTTCTTTTAGTTTACATATACGCCTTATTGATAATTTTCAATTAGCACATAACCCAGGACTAAGTAGAGCTTTTTCTATATTGAATCCACTTGGTATTATTTGTTCGAATCTTCCCATTGATGTTTAGGACTGCAATTAATCAGTCTCTTATTAGTATATGTGCAACACCAGAGACTAGGACGCGCGTTTCGTCCTATCTGGCACTCGTCGACTGGATGTACCTGCATCACAGAGTTGATGTTCACTCCGGTCCTCGAACCCAGTATCTTTCGCTCGGAATGCCATCGCATGATCCACTCAGTTACTGAGTCTTGATAGCCACAAAAAATATCAAATGAATTTAAACTTCACTTAATTGCACAAACAAGTGGATATCAAGACTTAGAAATTAATTGAATAACGTGATGTCGTTTGAAGTGAACAGTATTGAATTGAAGTCCCAGAGTGAAGATCAACTCTGAGATGCGATTACATCCAGCTGACGAGTCCCAAATAGGACGAAACGCACTATCCCATCTTTACTTATAATACTTTCTCATATCCCTACATATTCTACATTTTTCTTCTTATCATAGGATTTTTGTGGTTATTGGTCATGTTTACAAGTAATTGAAAAAAATGATCGTTTTGCTTGTAAATCAAATGAAGTTTATCATATTATATCATCTAGTTTAAATGATGAATGTTTTATACCACCATGTTATTTACGTACAATTTGTTTAAATGCTAATCAATCAATTACGGAACAATTAAAAAAGTTATTACCAAATTATCATTTTAAATCAGCATTACCTAATTGTCGACCAAATAATTTTATATTAAATAATCATTGCGCTAGATTATTATTACATTTTTCAAAATTACGTATGTCATATTCAATTACTGTAAATGACATATGTAATGCTGTGGAAAATTGAGCATCAACCCAGAGTGAAGATCAACTCTGAGATGTAAGTATATCCAGCTGATGAGTCCCAACTAGGACGAAATGCGCAACCTGGGTTTCACTACTAACCACTATCCATCTTTACTTATAATGCTTTCTCTAAATTGCCTCATCATATCAAATCATAAAATGCTGTGGAAAATTGACCATCATTAAAAAAATATCATCAATATGAAAGTGACCGAATGGGTATCATCATAAGTGGTGATATAGAAGTGGATTATTCTAGAAAACAACAAAATATCATAGAAGTAAGTAGAATTTATATATATTTCATGTTAAATGGATATTCTATGTTGAAGAAAATCATTGATTCTTTTTTTATAATCTAAATTTTACTACTTTTTTCTTATTAAGTAGTTAAATTAATACCGCAAAAAAACAATGATTGATTGAATATCTGTGAAACACCATAAGAGCATATGAATAATGACTTTAGATGGAATTAATCCAAGGACTGTCAATTCTTTTAGTGTAAGCATGGTATTTTTTGGATTATAGAAATAAATTCAATAATTGAATACACAGAGTGATTATTATTCAATATGATTTCATAATATATGCACCCAAATGCTACTTAATTACAAAATCCTATTAGTGTAGTGAATGAGAACACAAGTGAGGACAATCGAATGTATTGAAACATAAAATTACAGAATCACTTAGCAAAATCTGAGAACCATACAGGAAATACATCATTTGAAAAATGTTGATCAATTGTCTCAGATTTCATTGTTCTTTCATTTCCACACCATTCATTTACTGTTCTCATTCTCTTTTCTTCCATCTTCTTAACCTTCTGTCACCAGGCATTTCACTTTCGATCAATGACATATATTACTTATATCTGTGGACATCAGTAGCACATATCAAACTATGAGCCAATATAAATCTAATCAAAGACTGTTAGAGACAATGATGCATTCGAGTCACTGGATCTAAATACTAACCAATTATATTTAGATGACATATCAGTACTGTATGATTCAAAAGTACATTAGGCTAACTGCATTCAACCAACCACACAAACAACAACAAATAATGCTTTCAAGCTGGCCATCTGTTTGAAAAGTACATTTAGTATCTTTTTCTGATAAAAACTTGATCGTTGCTGCTACATTGACGTGGTGGTCAGGCTTGCTTATCGTGATGAACCAATCGAGATATACTGCCTCGAACAACGTCCTACCATGCCATACAGTTCGGCTGAAGAGCGGTAAGAATAAAAGCAGCAAACCCAATATCCGAAGGTGAAGTCGTACTACCGACTGCACAGAGTTGTGACGGCAGAAGCTGTTTCCTTCAGACAACCAGCATAACAGCGATGCTGCTTTCACACAAAGAGGGATGGGGTTAGAAAATGTCGACCCTATAAGTGCACACCTCGCCTTATCCCACGGATATCCGTCTCCGGCTGTAAGGCTCCAGAAATTACGGAGCTAACACTAAAACTACCCACAAAAGGTCATGTGTGACCGACCTCAAGCAGTTGTCCCTTTGGCACTGCGGTCACGCTCTCATGTCATTAAGACCACTTCTAACCCAATTTCCTTTTCAGGTACCTCTAGAAGAACCCTTCCACAGTGTGGGTAACCGGGAAGTGATAACTGTCCTCATACCTCTTACAGCACTCAAGATCACTGTTTTCATAATCAATCTCCTTCTTCGATTCCCATTGTTACTTCCATCTCGACTTTCAACACTTAACTTCCTCTTTCGGCTTCGTCCTTAAGTATCACCATGGCCGATGATTCTAGTGCGCGGAACACTGTCCCAGGTCTACTAAAACCTCTCCAAACTACACATTGGAGGCCTTCAACGTACGTATCCTAAGTCAAATCGGTCAACAAGCCTGGTTGGCTATGACCCTAGAAACTCGTACCATGGATGCATGCTTTGTCTCCGAAACACGTATATAGGATACTAGTGTGGCCAATCACTTGACATCACCTCGCCAAAATGGACAGTCAGCGAAATGCACCCTTTGTGTATCTGGCAACTCGATGGGTATTTCTCGTGGAGAGGCATGATAGAAGACTGTCGCTCGTATTGAATTGCATTTTTAGACTCTGATCACGCTTTAATACGAGCACGCATTTGTTTGCGCCCCACTGGAGGCAGAAAAACTACACTGAGAAGACCCATTAGGATTGAACTGGAGCACGATAAAGTCAAATGTAAATTCCAGGAACAACTGAGTTCACATCTAAGCAGTTCCGTAGATAACACTGACACAGATGCTGCTTGAAAAACATACGAACAGCTGTGGAAAAAGCAGTCACATCAATTAGCAATTAAAACCATAAGGTTTCAAAAAACCAATGGACTTCTTCTAAGTCTATTACGCTTATGGATTCGCGTAAATTCATCTCATCAGGCTCTGAACATGACGAAGAGCGTAAAGAAATCAAATGTAGGTTTACTGAATGTCTTAGGAATGATCGTGAACAGTGGTGGGCAACGAAAGCAAAAGCGATTGGAAAGGCAAAGGCTGTAGGCAACACCAGGCAATTCTTCAAAATAATAAAAGAAACCAGAAAATTAAAAATCGAGTGTAAGTGAAACGATCTCGGAAAAAGACAGAATCCTTATTTGCTCTCAGCCCAATGTTGCAATGTTGCAAAAGACTAGCAGTATATACCGGGATCCCGAACTTTTGTCCCAAAATATAAAAAGGTTGCTCGTTGTTGAGGAACAATGTAAATGAACACCCACAAATCGTTTTATTAAGCAGCTTGATAGCGGAAATCAAAGTCAACCTTTCCTTTACTATTCAAATATACTTCCATTCTGTCACATTTAGAGACCGCATTATAGGTTTTGCCTTAACATCAGGAAAACGATGGATGATAAGAGCAGTAATTTTATAAATGGAAGCATCAGTGGAGAAAATTTTGTCCAGTTTCTCGTTAAAACAAGTCAATAATAAATCTTGACTTTATTGAAGGAACTTCGATATTGGTCTGAACACTTCCATGTTGCACAAGCTGTTGAGAGTTGATTTGACCGATGGAGTAGTGTAAGGATAGACGGAACAAATATATCATAATTTCCTATAATATCCAACAATGATCATACTGTCATTAAATTAGTCAGTGCGGGCATTAGTTTAATGGCATTTTTATTATCTGGATCTGGAAGCTGGCTCTACGTCGAATGGGAGTCCATTGTACTTGTTAAGTTTACGACGATCGTTTATAGTTAGAAAACGTTTAGAGTCATAGCCAACTTTAATTTATAATAGTCATCAAATAAATCAAGTTTTGATAAACGTCCACTATTTGATTTAATGAACAAATCCTCATGTAAGGGAAATGGATATGAATGATTTTGTAAAGCAACATTCAGTTCAGTAGAGTAGTCAGCACATAGGCCGTTGGTCCCATCGGCTTTTTAACTGCAACAACAGATGTCCATGGTGAAAAAGTAGTTCGTTGTATAACTCCTAGTTTTTATAACCACTCGAGTTCTTTATCAACTTTATCAGTGTAGGCGTATGACACTTTTCATTCAGGACGAAATACTGGTTTCACTCCCATTAGTACAATAACCCAACGTGTGCTGAGATACACTCGTATGTTTCTCAGAAAGATCCGCCGCTCTAAAAACTTTAGCTTTGAATGTTACAGTTTGCACAGATGAATTAATATCAATGTAGGAGTCATTTAATGTACATACCGTGTTCAAATAGGTATTTGAGATTGTGGAAATTTGCAGCTTAGGTGAATGCCTTTGATGGAGTTTTTCACTCTGAGCTGGATGTTTTGTCAGTTTGCACATTTTTTCCACAAATAAGTATGATATCGGATTCTATGTCTACTTGTAGACAAATATGAACGTCATTCAGTAATAGATCAAAGTGACTTCAATTGTTAGTTAAATTGCATGTGAATGTTGAATATATACATTGCAAATCTACCTTCTGGGACACGCGATTTGGATTTTCAATCTGACATTATAAATTAAATTATAATCGTTTTATGATCGACTTTACACCATACATTTCATCGGTGATTTATATAATGGGAAGCTTAGCGAAATGTTATTCACCACAAAACCAGAATCCTGTTAAAGGTTGCTTTAATTGTGCTTGGTGTTGATTCCTGACAGTAACAGTATTGTGTTTGCATGAATTGAGAGAATGAATATTAAAGTATATTAAGGTTTATCCTCTAGTTTCTATCATTGCAGTGTCATATTTTAAATTTACCATGGGTTGACACTCAGTAATAGTCATTTATAATGTCATTCCATTATCTTCAAAGCAGAATAGTAATCGTGTTCACACTTTGGAATCTGTGGGTAGTTGTAGTCTAGAAACAAACGAAAATTTAAACTGGTGATTTGATAATCTATTTAGTTTAAAGCGAAGAGCTTGTAGATTATTCCAGCTTGCTTATGCCAGATTATCTTCACCAACATCCTTGGTTAACTGGAGGTGTTTGTAACGAATATACAATAACGTCTGGTGTTCAAAATATCAACGGTTTCATGAAAACTAAACGCCCTTGCGTGATTTGGTAGGCTATGATTTCTTATATTTGTGGTATTGTTGCAGGCCAAATTTTGCCTCAGCAGTCTTACCTTTGAATCGGGCCATTAGATATGAAGTATCTATTATTTCAGACAATGTAAATAAACTATGCGGTCCCGAAGAAATAAATATTGCACGAACCTACTCTAGTTGTTAGTTACCACAGATTTGAATTCCTTGATGCTTCTGTGTTGTATAATGGACGAAACTTTCATGTTAAGTGTTCGAGAGATAGCCAGTGGCAGGAGAACTTCTGATCTCAGCTTGGATACACTGGCTGTATAACAGCAAACACGCAGATTATGATATTCTAGGATGAAAAAAAATTATATGAAACCTTGATTACCTTTTATTAAGTGACAAGATCCAGTCAGTCAGTTACATCATAGAACTTCATGCGTACGTACATCAGTTTGAGTTGTCATACCATATTAACACGGAGATGCAGTTGTCGATTTAAATCGCATACTGGTCGAAGTAGTAAGAGTATAAACAGTAATCTGAAAGATTAGGGTTTGAAGATGTTATCCAATGAGTATAACGTAGTGAAATAAATTTGGAAAGAGAAAAAAGATAGAGACATGAAGAATTCAGAATATTAGAATTTGACAGAACACAAAGAGTGAATGCATCTACACCATCGCTTTATCAAGTGACAAGAAGAAACTGATAATTGCAATGTTTTGGTTGAATAGTTGAACTATTTACGAATTTCAGATCATTTCAGTGAAAAGGTAACACTCAGTTCATTGAATGATCAAATCCGAATTGGTCCAGATGGTAGAGAATATTCATTTATTCATGAATAAGCTAGAAATTTATCTAAAGAAGCTTATTTAGCTGCATCAACTAATTTAAAATTACGTAAAGACAATTTAAAATTATTCAATAATGGAAGTGACAATAATAATGAATATGCCAATAATGACAGTAACCATGATGATGATGATGAGGAGGAGGAGGAGGAGGAAGAGGAGGGTATACCGTTACCACCGATATCTATGATTTTAGGCACTGATCAATTGGATAATTATTGGCATGGAGTTCTATTTAGTATAATTGAAATTCAAGTTGATACAGTAGTTGTAAATCAAAATGATTTTGGTAAGTGTAGATATTCGTAAACAAAAAAGAAACACTCACTATTTTAAGATATTCATTTTTCATAATATTTCAATTCCTTTGCTCTTCATCCTTGTGATGCGTATCAGTTGCCCGTTTACTTATTATTGCTATAGTTTGCTATGTACTGTAATATGACTATGAAATATGCCATTTGAAGGTGAAGAACACCAATAGGTTGTAACGTTTTGAATGTTGTATAGATGTCTTTGAGTAATCACTTTCGGAGTAGTGAAAACACGAGGTTGAATTTAGGTTTACAGTAATGGGCAAATTGGTCTTGAGTTTACAACGAATAAGAGTCATGCAGTACATAATATAAGTGTTAGATCGGCTTACAATAAACTCTATCAGAGCCTCCAGGGAGGCTCATAAAGAGACCAACCAATCAGCGTGTAGTTAGAAGCTATACTACTAAAATAACAAGGTCCTGATTGGCTGTTAACATACTGTTACTATGGGATCTCAAGGTCTTTTAGCTACTATAAAACCCCTGTTTTTCTGTACATAATTGAACCTTGTAGTAAAGTGCTTCTCTGATACTCGTGTCTTCTCTCTGGTCTTCCAAGTCGCTGAGTAGTGCTAGCCTGGGGTTATCCGAATAGCTAGGATCCGAATAAAACGTTCAACTTACGAGTCATAACAATAAGTCTACTGAGTTTTACCAATTATTAGGACATAACAAAAACGACAACAATTCATTATATGAGATTAACGTGACAACAATTCAGATATTTGAAAGCAGCCTTGTTAGTTTATTTCATATTTTATTTGAACACATACATATTGGTACAAAAGCATCGAACATAAATGCGCCACACAATTGTGTGATATTGTCCAGGTGCCCAAAATGAAGTAGGTGTTTTTCTAAGGAAGCCACACCCAGAGCCTTTGACCTGAAGGTCTGATCAAGCAGACAGTGGGGCATCGTGAAGAAGTGCTTTCCAATAGTAGCCGGTGACCAACGATTAGCTCACACACTATTTGTTCCCTGAGGATCCTGGAGCCCATGTGCACCATTGGTTTGGAATCAGGGTTTCCTAACTCCCCTAGATGGACTTATAAGTTCCAAACTAGGTTTGGCTGAAGAATAACTGTCTGGTAAGAGAAGAAACGCGTGTCTGCCAATCGAAGTCAGAACAAGGTGATTGGGGTAACAACGGTTCTAAATTCTATCATAAATACAAATAAATGGCTTCACCTAAACAAATATTACCACTCAGTTATTCAACCAATAATTGTTGTCACAATAATCGATCTAAATTACAATAAATAAATAAATTGATATGAAAATTACCGAACACACCAAAAATAAGTATTTTTCTATCCTTCTTGGATAGATCAAGTGTTTCCGATTCTGGGAATGTGTTTCAATTCACAACCAAAATGTACGATCCCGGTCAAATCCAGCAACAAAATGAAAGAGAGAACCATCAATATCGCTGCCGCCAAGATACAATGTCAACTAAAACAACATAGATACAGTTCAGGAAGAAACATATAAACTCAGTAAGAGCGAAAGAGGAAATGCTAAAATTGTTATGAAATGAGACATTTCAATCTCAAATGGCATCAAAAAGGTCAACAATAATGGACAACTAAGGAAACCATTAAGAACAATTTGCAAGTGTATGCATGGAGGGATTTTCACGCACGAAACCTTCAAAATGGATCTCATGGGAGTTACTGTGTCAACCGATAGCCTTGCTAAAAAATTCTACATAACAAAAACTTTAAGTATGTGTATTTAAATCCACATGACATATCTGTCCTCAAAAGAATATGATTATAAGTAAGAATGAATCGTACTTGAATACTGCTGAGATTTAAGAAGAGTTTCAGTCCCGTTATTTTTATATTTTAGTGTATTAAGATGTGCTCACATGTAGTAGATGGATTCAATATCCGGCGATTGTTTCGAAAACTAATAATATTTAAAATCAACAATGACCTCATATTCCTCTCTCTCTCGTTCATAATAGCAAATAAAAGTCAGATGATAAGTTTGTTGAGTGATGGACGCTCTGTCAGAAATATTACTCCCTTCTCCGTGAACACTTTGACTGTGATTTCACAATGAATCTTACCAGCAATATTTAGAATTCCCCCAGATGCACTATGCGATGATTGATGAGTTGAATATATGTTCTTGGTTTCACAATTTTCTCCAACGTCCATCTGCTTATAAGTGTTATATCGAAAGCTATGTCTAGTTGTAAGCGAGCTACATACCCATTAATCTTGAGGGAAACATACTTCCTATGATTATGGGAGCCGGTTCTGTTAACAGCTACCGTCACTTTGACTGTACGTAGCTTGAATCTTCTAGAATAAACCTTAGTTATAATCAAACGCTGATTAGATGACATCGATAACATCGATTCATCAAAATTACCCTTCATATCATCCACAATTCATATGTAAATCAACATTAGATTCGAAAAGATTTTCATCATCACAATTTCATAATAATATAAATGGAAGGAGGATATTAGTTCACAATGATAATAGTAATAATAATGATAATATCACTAGTATTATTCCACAACGAGTCTGTACAGTCAATACAAATCGAGTAAATATGAATCAATACAGTGGACCAGTTATGATTTAAGTAATCTATGTAAAATTAATAAAAGATATAATATTGATATTCTACAACTATTATTGAAGGAAAAGAAATTGATATACGAACTGTCATCTAAATTAAATCGAATAGTTTCAAAGTATTTCGGTGCCGAATTGATGAAAGACATTAAATAGGAAGAAGAAGAATGTATTGGTAAAATCTTAACGACGACTGAATTTGAAGTAATTCCAAGGAACAAGCATTGATCAGATTGCTAGGGCGAAAAGTTGAACTTACTTCAGATTCATTCGTTGAAATTTTACAATTATATTCTTATTTTTCATAGTTTAATGCACAAATCAATCAAAGCTAGACCACCGAAGAAAACCCTGGAGGCAATGAACGACCGTTTGTATCATTATGGGACTCCTCAGTAGTGCACATCCAAAATTTCGGCTCGCGAGATTCGAACACACAATAGAACGAAACAGCCGTTCAGTGCTTCCAGGTTTTCCTTAGTGGTCTAGCTTTAATTGACTCATGCTTTCAACTATGAAAATATTAAATCAACACAAAACCCTTCTGATTGTTCTTCCCATTGAAAAAAAATTTAATTTTTGAACTGTAAATATTTTCATAGAAATTTATTATACTTAAAACGACAGTCGAGAATAGACTTCACAAGAGATTGAAGATTCTTTAGCCGTTTCAATTTTGAAAATTTCATTATGAACTATTACTTACTACCTTACTTACGTCTGTTACGCCCAATGGAGCATAGACCGTTGACCAGCATTCTCCAACCCACTCTGTCTTGGATCTTCTTTTCTACTTCTATCCAAATTTCGTTCATTCTTCTCATGTCTGCCTCCAGTTCTCGGCATAGATTGATATCAACATTGTAAATATTATTTTAGAACATAAATTTTTCTTTCTTTTTTCGTTTTGAATTCTCTGACAAATTACCATTGTAGTAAAAAAGAAGATAATTAATCAATATCAGTCATCTTTGATTTGAAAAAAGGCATTGTTAATTAATGAAATATGACGTAGGACGGACATGGCGTTTTGGTCGGTATTCGATACTATCCTTAAACTTCGTGTACCGTTCACTTGAATAACTGTTACTAAATAACACCCCAAAGGTGCATAAATGAGAAGGTGAACACAAAGTGTTGATTGCGTTTATCGTTGAAACACACCCAGATATCTAAAACTGGAGATAAGTTAAGCAAGAATGAAAGAGAAGTGCCGTAAAGCAAGCAAGTGAGCGAGAGGATGATGGAGTCCATGAACGAGTGTGGAAATGAATGAAGCATCAAATCGCTTGAGCGACCAATAGAAAGGCTATCAGAATGAATATATGCGTAGACAGTAAGCAATGCTCAATCATACATATTCATGCAAGTAAAACAATAATAAAGGTACAAAAGCACAGATAGGTTGTGTTAGTGAGATATAGATTGGATTAAGCATGTTTTATGAATGATGGTGTTGCTGCGCGCTGATTGGTTAATTTTAAACCGATCAGCCCGGGCATATTATTGCAGAAAAATCTACAAGCTTCTTATAGTTTATACTATAAATATATGAACGATATTTAAACTATTGATTGCTGATTGCTGTTTGCATACCATTGTTATTTTGAATACAATTTCTTTCCTGTTCAACGTGTTCTGATGTGGGGTCTTGTCAAGTGTCATCGTATAAGAATACTAAGCAATAGGAATAGCTGGGTCGTTTATATAACAAAACACAAATATAACAGGTTGTTACTGTGCATGTGACTCTATCCGTTAAATAAGCGAACAAAAGGGTTGAAGCAATTTAAATATAAACAAACTCAATCGTACGTGAGCTGCTGTTACAGCATCAATGTACGTTGATTCCACTTGTTACAACCAACACAGCAAAAAGAGATGAAATGAATAAAATACATAATGTGCTTGTAAAATGGTGGTCCATGATGGCGGAAAAAAATAAGTCAGAGAATATTATTGAATTCTGAACATAAGCAATATGTAGTATTGTGTGTGTCCGGGTAAGTGGTCGATTTTGATTCATGTTACCCAAGATTTCTAGTCATCGTAGACTTTAACTGGATAGTTTAAAAACAACCAGTGAGTAGTATCATGAACTGATACCATGTCTTGGTTTGGGTACCCTTTGCGACTGCACGATATGTGCGTGAAAGAACGAAGTAAATGAACTGAACATATTATTTGGTATCATCTCAGTTGCCCCGTTTCATTTTCAACTATATGTTCTACGGCCTAAATGTATCCGCCTGTATGTTTAAGTTAGAATTATGGTGTTACTATCTCATCACATTGAGAATGACTGGTCAGACATACTTATACTGTAGTTAGTTAATCGATAATATGTCTATATTTTGTCTGATGAGTACCTATGCCTAGTGAATGCACATTCTACAAAAAGCAGCCGATTGAAAGTATATGTATCTGTTGATTGTTGTGAGCACTTATGAAAGTACCCATGCAGTGAAAACAAATTTAAGACACTGACCAACTAGTCGAAAACAACAATAAAGGAAAACTAATGTCATGAGACAGTGGACTCAAAATGACTTATGAACAAGTTGAAATAGGCACTCAGAATTCTTAAGCGCTGAAAAACTAATAATATTTGAATCGTTTTCTACTGATGAGTTCTACAGGTTGTTTATATTGTGTTAAATAGATTATTATTAACTTACTACCTGGTTCTTTATTGTCGATCGGATATTGTATATGTGAATTACGTGATCCGATTTAGTGATCGTATAAGTATCCATCTTTTTTCTGTACGTTTTTGATTTTTATACAGTTACCATTTCCCCTGCTTCTTCCATCTTCTGATTTAACAGCCGTGGATTTCTACACGTTCAAGTGCCGTAAGTTGTACGTCGTATTCTGCCAAAATCAAGTAGAGGACATTGTAGTACCGTGCTTCGCTAATCGTTCACCGCGATTACCGTTATAATACAAATCTTAACGGTGCATAAAATCAGAAGGCAAAGAGAAGCATTATAAGCAAGTTAGCCTTGCATTCCACAGAAATAAGGGTGTCATGTATTATTATTATTGTTATTATTAATGGCTTTATTCAATATTATAATCTGGTACAATACAGAATTCTCAGCACCTGTTATTTCAACAAGATTTTTACAAAAAAACCCGAAAAAACAAACAAAAAAAACAACAGAAATAAAATAAAAAAGGTTTAGGAATATCTGAGTTTATACGAATTATCGAATTTGAGACATCCTTAAGAAGACAGGTTATTTACTAAGTCAAATCTAACAGCCTGCTCGTCACAAAGAAATTTGCTAAGTGAGATAATACAGAACTTTTATAGATATGCTGGCGTGCATGGATTTTAATGTATTTCCGTCTCGTTCTACCAGAAGATATACAAGGAGAAAGATTTGAATGAAGCGGATGGTTAGTATCTGATAAGATAACACCTGCCAAGAGTTTGCAAGACTTAAGATGTCTATCCGCAAGCATATTAACAATGACTTGAAAAGATTCACCACATACCTTGCAAACTGCCTTCAGCATTCTACGCAAAATAGCAACGTTTTTTCTCAAAAGAAAGAATAATGGAGAACAATATAAAATAATAGGCAATATGCAGGAATTTATAAATTGTAAGAGTAAATGGCGAGTAATCTCAAAAGCATGCAGCCTCTTTATGTAGTATGTCAAACGGTAAACGTTTTTCGATAACAGTAAAACATGAGAAGACCAAGAAAGATCAGAGGAAAAAGTAACACCAAGATATTTGACCCTCGACACTGTGTTTATTAAGGAGTCTCCAATGGCACAAGCATTATGGGATCCCAACATAGAGTATAGGTTCCGTCCATGTCTCAAGCTAAAATTAACAGCTTGACATTTAGAAGGATTGAGTAAGAGTTCATTACCAACAGACCACCTTTCAATACGAGATAAAAACTCATTCATTTCTATAGGATGTAAGGAGGTAGAAATTGGCATGCATACAGTGAGGTCGTCCGTATATTTTACAAAAGTGTTTTCTGTGGAAGATGGCAGATCATGCGAAAAGAAAGAGAAGAGAAGATGTGAAAGAACAGCTCCTTGTGGCACACCTACAGTAGACAGTAGAGATGTTGAACACTTTCTTTCAAATACAATGTACTGTTCTCTTGCAGAAAGATAGGAGCGTAGCCAATTGGTTATCCAGCTGTCAGTGTCGATGCGAATCAGCTTGTTAAGTAAGAGGTGTCTTGGAATTGAATCAAAAGCAGAAGTAAAGTACAGAAAAGCGCATCCAACATACTTCTTATCCTTTTCCAACCCCAACACTATATTGTGATGCAGAACAGTAACGGCATCTAATGTGCTTCTTTTGCATTTGTAAGCAAACTGAAATGGATCACAGTGCTCTTTTATTGCAGGTTGAAGTGGTTGTAACAGTAATTTTTCCATTATTTTGAGGAAAGGTGAGGTTATTGCTATGGGTCAAAGTTTCGCATTTTTATCACCAGAAGCTTTCTTAGGTATAGGGATTACCTTTATCTTTCTCCACATTTTCAGTAAGACATTAGTTGAGAAGGATCTGTTGAAGATATTCGTTAATGGATAACATAAAACATCAGCACATGTTTTGAAAAGGAGGTTTGGGATACCACCAGGTCTTAAACATTGGGATGAATTCAGAGACTGGAGACATTTCCGGACATCATTTTCAGTGAAACTGGGGACACAATTATTCTTCAAACCCTTGGATATAGGGAGCATGATGTCAGATGACTGACGAATAAAGGACTTATTTAAGTCACAAACATTTAGCTGGTTATCGCTTCTAGTCTGCCTGTCCCCTGTAATTTTTTAAAGAATTTCCACGTACTTGGAGAGCTTCTACAAGATAGAAGTTTTTGAGTGAACACAGAGTTCAGACGTCTAATCTCTTGGTTTATTTGATCATTTAACTTGCGAACTTCAATAGTGTTTTTCTCCTTGTACATCCTTTCTTTTACCCTCCGTAGTCGTTTTAGTTGTGGAGATGTAAGTCGATCA